ATTTTCACTCATCTAAGTACGATTCTTTAAGGACTACCGACGATCCGCACTTTTGGAGCGGTTGCGATCCTCAGAAAGGAGTTTGATGATTACCAGGATATCCATTCTTCCGCATGGTGCATCTTTATTACATCTTCGCGCGCCTTTATGGCTGAATAATTTCTGCGTGCTGTATATTATTATGGTCTTACACTAAGCTTCCTCATGCAGGACAACTACAGTCGCGGTTTGATGAACGGCGCATACGTGGGCGATCACGCAGAGTATCAATCTCATTCGGTGGTTTCAGTGGGGCATGCGCCAAAACGTCGAGATGGAGAATCATATGACCTCAGTGGAGCGTATCCTTGAGTACAGGTACTCGCCTCTTCTTTGAATATCTTGATATTGTATTATATTATAGATTCTTAATGTTTTGACACCTTCAAATTCTGTGCACACATGAAAGCTTAGTTTTTAGAGCGATGAATTTGTAAATGCTTGATCTTTGATTTATGTCTTTTACATTCTTTAATTTTTGATTTTTTTAATATTGATGTTTCCGTACTTTTTTTTTATCTATATAGGCACTCAAATTTATATGTAAGTTTCATAAATAACTAGAAATATGGAGTCTTTCATTCCAGTCTTTTTAAATTACAACCGCATTCCCTATTTCGATACCTTCCAGCAAAATAGACAGCGAACCCCCTCTCAAGAGTGTTCCTGATAAGAAATCTAAATCTGAATGGCCGCAAAAAGGCCAGATTGAATTCAAAAACACGTTCCTGCGTTATGCGCCATTGGAACCTCCAGTGCTTAAAAATCTCAGTTTTGTTATCTTTCTACGAAAAAAAATCGGCATTGTTGGCAGAACCGGCGCCGGCAAGTCATCTCTGATTTAAGCGCTCTTCCACCTGGTCGATGTGGATGGTCTGATTAAGATCAACAAAGTCAATACTCGCCAGATTGGCTTGCACGATTTGCGTACTAAAATCAACATCATCTCGCGGGAACCGTTTCTGTTCTCCGACAACCTGAGACAGAATCTCGATTTGTTCGACTCGTATATGGACGAACCACTATGGCGAGCTCTTGAGGAGGTCTAGTTGAAGGAGATGGGCTTGG